AAGCAGACCGCTGAAGAACTGATGCCTTTGAATTGTGGTGCTGGAGGAGGCTCTTGAGAATCCCCTGGACTGCAAGGAGAACAAACCTATCAGTTCTAAAGGAAATCAACCCTGAGTGCTCACTGGAAGGACAGATCCTGAAGCTGAGGCTCCAGTACTTTGGCCATCTCATGAGAAGAAAAGAGTCCTTGGAAAAAACCCTGATGTTAGGAAGGTGTGACGGCAAGAGGAGAAGGGGACGACCGAGGATGAGATGGCTGGACAGTGTCTGCGAAGCAACCAACATGAACCTGACACAACTCCGGGAGGCAGTAGAAGACAGGAGGACCTGGCGTGCTCTGGTCCATGGGGTCACGAAGAGTCGGACACGACTAAATGACTAAACACACACCTGTGTAGCTTTGGGCAAGCTGCATTGTCCCAGAGAGCTACCAGAAAGACAAAATGGTAAACCTCTTCAGAGTACTTTGTACTTAGAAAACCCCTGGAGGGTCGTGATAAATCGGGAACAACTTGATAACACTTTTCTGCCTTTTCCCATTATGGTTGAGCTATATGAATGCAAAACAAACCTGTCGTGGGATGTTTTAGGTTCTACATGGTATCTGTGGTACGTGTGTGAGTGAGTCTGCTACACACGTTACTTAGGCAACATGGTAACAAGGCCAATGCAGAACATAATTCAATGATTCTTCTAACTTTTGTTTGCTTCTGACAAGTGAAAAGACACTAAAAACACTCACAAGTTAAAAGCTTTGAAAATAACATAGAACAGAGGAGCCTTGAAGATGGCTGTGTATGCATTGCTTAAAAGAGAAGGTGAAGTGGAACAAAACAGGTCTTCCTTTGAATGGACAGCTGTTCTTTGTAAAGTAGGATGTGGGGCCACATTAGAAGCATGTGAATGAGTTGAGAAACTTCAATTTTATCTTATAGAGGTACAGATTTTAATTTGCTGCCTGCTGCCTACATCTTGACATTTCAGGGGAAAATACCTGAGCAGTCCTCATAAGTGAGCGAGCATGAACTCTTTTCTTTCTTTTCTTTTCTTTTTATGTTATGTGAACCCCGACTGTCAGATTTTGTGGTTGGGAACTTGGCTTCTTCGCAGAAGGCCAAATGTGTTGTGCTTCCGTTGTGGGGGCTATCTTCTGCAGATTAATAAGAATGGCTGAGCCAGCAGGCCAAGAAATCCCTCAAGTGGGCACCTTCTACATTTTCTGAGAATTCTTCCCACCATGATCATTTCCAAATCCTGTAACACTGATGTTTTCCACTCAAATGGTCTCGTTGGCATTTTTAGTAGTTATATTTGGCAGATTGTCTTCTTCCACCTAAATCTACCCGAATCACCCGACATAGCCAGCAGGGACGGATGAGGGGACTGACGCCGAGGGAGGCCTGGAAAGAAAAAACAAGAAACTGGGCCTTCTCGGCGGTGGCCCCTCGGCTGTGGAACACCCTCCCAAATGAAATTCGGCTGGCACCCTCGCTGGGTGTTTTCAAAAGCCAGTTAAAAACTTGGCTATTCAAGCAGGCCTTCCCTCCAGTCAATTAATTGATCTCTATTTTTCTTCCTTGAGTCATGCCATCTTAGTAATGTGTTGTTTGGAATTAATTGCTATAACTGCATTTTTGATTATTTTTATACATGTCATGTTGTTGTGTTTTTATCCATGTAAGCCGCCCCGAGTAGACATTGTCGGGGGGGGGCGGAGTAAAAATCTAATAAATAAATAAAGAAAAAATAAATAGTTTTATAATGTTATGCAGTCTAACATGTCAGATTTCAAACAGAGCACCACTTGCAGAAGGAGTTTCAAACGGCATCTGTAGTACATAACAGGGTTAGGGAAATGGTGGTTCCAAGCAAATGGGTGGATTACAGTGACCATCGACTCTGATATTCGAGCAAGCTTGCTGGGGTTGATGGGATCTGAAGTCCTACAATGTCTGTAAGGTCACAGGTCCCATCATTACCAGTATTGCTTTCAGTGACAGAACCAGCTGCTCTTTTCTTATTTCTAAAGTCTGTAGTTTCCATCAATTTCCTGACATTCTGTTTTTTTTTAATTCAAAGGAGTAGTGCTGCCCAATTTCACAAAGAATCTCTGGAAGCAACTTTTAAAAAGGCAGAGAGTCATTGTCAGTTCTCTTTCCTCATCTCTCTCTCTTTCAAATGCATTGCTCTAGTTCTCCAGCTTTCTTACCTGTTTATTTCCAGACTTACTTTTCGTCTGTATACAGTCTCTCATAACCTCTGTGGTGATGGACTGTTACTTCTGTTCTACACATTATCAGTCATAAAATCTATCTTGCCTGTCAGGCCTTTGCTAATCACAGTGTAGACAATGAATGTATTCTCAATTTTAGATGACTTACAAATAAGGCCATGTCTCCATAACTGTACACTGTCTCTCTCTCTCGCTCTCTCTCTCTCTCTTTTTTTTGGCTCCTCCATCTTGGTAATCCTCTCTTTAAATTAATTGTTTTAAATTGAAATTTGTAATTTTATGATTTTATATATTTTTATAATGTTTTGTTTTATTTTGTAAGCCGCCCCGAGTAGACATGGTCTAGAGGGGCGGGGTAAAAATCAAATAAATAAATAAATAAATAAATAAATATACACTAATAGCATGTTTAATATTAAAAAAAACCTCAGAGTTACAAAGAGTAATTACTAATAACTGCTTAGTTCTAGAGTGACAAGTGAAGTAAATGATCTAACAAAGTTACTTTTGATGTACTGTAACATTTTAAGTAACTTGATTGAAATGAGTGATATCTGCCTTTGAAAGCATTGTTAGAGGCATTTTGACAGAGATTTTCCAGATTTTATTCCATTCTGTTTTCAAACATTAAGTGGCAAGAGAAGTATTATTTGGTTTTGTCATCTGTATTTTTATAAATGTTTCCAGGGTGCAATATTAGAACTGACAGCTACAGAGGACTACAGTTATATTTTTCTGCATTTCTCTGTTCTGCTGGTTACAAAAATGCAAAATGTTAATAATGTGCAGTGCAATAAGTTACTTGTGCAGTCAGAGCACTGGTAGTGGTAACTGGGTGGATCAGGTCCTCCTTACGCTGCCATTTTGTCCTCTTTTGCTGTCATTTCTTTTCCTCACCTGTTAACTGAGATTATGAAATTCTGAGGGGTTTATTGATACTACTTCACTCTTACATTCCATTGGGAGGACTATTGGATTTTCCTCTTTTAGCTTTACCCATATTTCACACTGTTCCATACTTCTTCACACAGCCCATAACAATGGTGGCCCTTTCGTGATGCAGAACAGGCAGCTACCTGAGATAGTAGATGCAATGAAATGTGTCAGCCTGGTGTAAAACTCTAGAATTCACTACCACAAGAACAGTAATTAATGGAGAATAAAGTTTTGTTCTTGTTTAGTTGTTTAGTTGTGTCCTACTCTTCATGACACTGCCTCCCGACGTTGGGTCAGATTCATGTTGGTAGCTTCGATGACCCCATCCATCCATCTTGTCCTCTGTCATCCCCTTCTCCTCTTGCCTTCACACTTTCCCAACATCAGGGTCTTTTCCAGGGAGTCTTCTCTTCTCATGAGAGGGCCAAAGGATTGGAGCCTCAGCTTCAGGATCTGTCCTTCCAGTGAGCACTCAGGGTTGATTTCCTACAAAATGGATAGGTTTGTTCTCTTTGTAGTCCAGGGGACTCTCAAGAGCCTCCTCCAGCACCACAATTCAAAAGCATCAGTTCTTCGGCAGTCAGCCTTCTTTATGGTCCACCCCTCACTTCCATACATCGCTACTGGAAAAACCATAGCTTTGATTATTGGCAAGGTGATGTCTCTGCTTTTTAAGATGCTGTCTAGGTTTGTCATCACTTTCCTCCCAAGAAGCAGACGTCTTTTAATTTTGTGATTGGTGTCACCATCTGCAGTGATCCTGGAGCCCAAGAAAATAAAATCTGTCACTGCCTCCATATCTTCCCCTTCTATTTGCCAGGAGGTGATGGGACCAGTGGCCATGATCTTAGTTTTTTTGAAGTTGAGCTTCAGACCATATTACTTTCAGCATTAGAGGCACCATGACTCTGGGTGTCCCTCGTTGAGGAAAATGAGTTGGGAAGGTTGAGCTGTGCTTTGTGTCCTGCTCAGAGCCAGCCCTATCATTAGGGAGAATGTGGCATTTGCCATGTTTGCAATATTTTGAAGGAAAAAGGGCACCCCTTTAGCATGTCCATCAAGTTCCAGAAGCTGGTAAGCTCTCCTGAGGGGATGGAGAGGGGCTGGAATACTGGATTAGATCAGCCTTTGTCTGTCCAGTAGCACTTTTCTTATGTTCTTAATTGCTTGACCATGGTTGAAGAAGAGAGCCTTGATCTTAGAAGTCCTTTCTTATTCTCACATCACATTCTTTCTTATGTGGTTTTGGAGTGTCTCTTAGCTAATTTGCAAGTAACCTCAAAAAGCTGCAGAGGAGCAATTTGAATAAAGTGAACAAGAATGAGCAAGCGGGCTAAAGTCATTCTGCTTCTTGGAGTGAATCCCCTGGTCCTGGGCAAACAACTGAAACGTATTTCAGTACTGGCAATGAGACAATATTCCTGTATCACTCCTCAGGGCATGTGACAGGTTTAGGGAATGTAGCACAGTCTCTCTCTCTCTCTCTCTCTCTCTCTCTCTCTCTCTCTCTCTGTGTGTGTGTGTGTGTGTGTGTGTGTGTGTGTGTGTGTGTAAAGGGCACTTTTAATTTGGTGTTAAATATGTATGAGAGCCAGTCTGGTGACGTGGATGGAAGGTCAGATTCAGATGACAGGAGCCCTGGGTCGAAATCTCGTCATGGCTGTGAAAACTCATAGCAATGGTGAACAATTCCTTAACCATCTGTTGATCTTAACCATCCTATTAGGGTTGCCATAAATTGGAAGTGACTTGACAGATATATGAACACAATATCATTTTTTTTGTTTCTCAATCCACCTGGGATAAACACTGCACTTCTACTTTCTGCAGGACAATCACCATCTCAGGGATACAACGTTGAGATCACTCCGGCAGCTCGGTTCTCCAACGTCAGTGAGCAGTTTGGGTACCAGGTTCTGCAGATTGGGGAAGGCTCTGAAGCAAGGTAAATTCCCAAATACACTCCCAGATATAACTCATCAGTATGTGTGCAACTGTGGCATATATGGGTGCTGTGGCCGAAGGGGGTGTTTGTGTGGCGGTTTGCCTCCGTGGGGACTTTTAAAGTCTTCCCAGTTGTGGAAAAAGGAGTGATTCAAATTTCCTTGCTTTTCCTGGTAGTTTTTGTATTTTTTTTTTTTACTCCCCTCAACAGCTGCTAGGCAGAAAGAAATGTAGCAGATAAAGCCTTTCCTGTCCTTCACAAAAAAGCAGTGAAAAAGACCTCACCATGCAGGTGTCCATGAGTATGGAAGGATGCTCTTAAAAGGGATAGTAGGAAAAGCTGGTATCAGAGGACACACCTTTAAGCAAGGGAGACGAGAAGCATACATGGTGTGTCTCTCAGACAAGAAGAGAATAGGATCAAGAAACACCCTACTCCGCTACAGGTCAAGTGCCATCTAATGACCAAATTATAAAAACATTATTACCTTGCTTGACATCTTCAGTTAAGTCTCAAGCTGATTGCCTTGAGGAGAGTGTTCTACATTGTAAATTCTCTTAAGGACTCTTATCCTGCCCCCAGTAAGTCCTTCCTTATAAGATGGAAATAAATCTAAGTATGTCTTGATTCCTGGGGCTGCACAGTTATGTCTGCATGCTCAACACACTTCATGGAGTTTATACTTCTTCCTTCAGCAAAGCTGGGATTAGGGGTGACGGACCTCCATGTAGTTTAAAATCCATATACTGTGTACCTCTTATATCCATAGCTTTGACAATCCTTTCCATACAGTACCATGTGTAATGAGTCTTAAGGGTTCTTATGACCCCATGACCTAGAGGCTGAATTTACTTGGGAGCAAGTAAACCACTTCGATGCCTTCAGTGTTGACCTCATGGGGTCCTGGGTAGCCAGGGGCACAGCACTTACAGAAAAATTATTTATTGATTGGCATATTTATTGATTGGAATATTGATTTTTTAAAAAAAAAAATCTGCTGCCCGTCAAAGGGCATTGTGCAATGGTTCCATCTTTCCCATAATGTGTTTTAGTTGTTGTAGATTTTGTTGTGGTCAAAGAGCACTTTCTTTCCCTATTTAGTTTCACACGGCCTGTGTTTACACAGAGGCCTTACACATCTGTTCCCTTTTTAATTCAGGAAGTGAGACTGAAAATTTGCCTGGTGGTGCTGAATGGGACTGGAGAATTTGGGGGAGGCCCATCCAGTTTTTATTTTAAGGGCAGGGATTTCTTATAAGCTGCATGACAGACAGAAATCCAGATGGGGCAACTTCCCTAAACTGTTACATGGAAATGGCTTCTGTCTATAATAATGATTGTCAAAGGTGTGGGGACTGAACAGGCAGAAATTCTATCTAAGGACTTGAAGCGGAGGAGTGTATGTGTGTGTGTGTGTGTGTGTACACTATCTTGCAACGTCTGTTACTTATTTTCAGAATTATTGTGGGCGCTCCTGCTCAACCAAACTCCACTGGCAAGGTGTACCAGTGTTCAATGGAGAGTGAGAAATGTACAGATGTCCCACTTGAAGGTGAGTTTCAGGGTTCCAACATTTTGTAGGCACTGAGGAAAGAAACCCTGGGGAGCCATCACTGACAAGGATAGAGGCCCTGAGAATGAAGTGTTACCCTAGAATCCTCACTTTATTGTTTCATTTGAATGCAACCTTCCCTCCAGGATGCTCATGGAAACATACCACGCTTCCCTCTGTTATTCTTTCATCACACGCTTTTGTGAGGTACATTAAGCTGAGCTCTAGTACAATGGGTCTCTACTTAAGAACTTAATCCGTATTGGAAGGTGGTTCTCAAGTTGAAAAGTTCTTATGTTGAATCTGCATTTCCCATAGGAATGCATTGAAAACCATTTAATCCGTATCTGCTCTTTTCCGTCCATAGAAACTACTGTACAGCTGTCCAGAGATTTAGTACTGGCCCAGAGCCAGCCAGTGAGGTCCATAAACAAGCAGGGATTTGAACTCCAGGCATAGCCAGCTTGAGACATTTTAGAGTGAGGGATAATCTTCCACAGTCTATATACTGGACTGAAGTGGCCACCGAGTCTTGCCTCAACTCTTTGGTCATTGAGGTTCCTAGCTAATTTAGGTGGCCCAGCAGGGCAGATTGTGTGACATACATAAATCCATGAACTTCAATAGAAGGAAGCAATACTTATTTTTCTGTCAAAATTTAATTGCTTTGTTCTTCCTAATGATAGAGTCAGCCTTGATGATGGCGAAAGTCTTAAATGTGATCAATTATATCACCCAGGTGCTTCATTTCACTCTTTAGTCCAAAGATCATCCTTGTGTGTTTATAAAAGTATCTGTGTATCATTAAAATGGTGTGTGAGACAGAGAGGAGGGGGGGGAAGTGAAGCAGAGAGAGAGAGAGAGAGAGAGAGAGAGATCTCACTGTTCTAGGGATACATTATCTCCTTTGCAACATCATGGATGGCCTCTTGCCCACAGGGCAAATGGTGGCTGTCTTCCTTTAATGGATCCTTGCCAAAAGGCACTCAGCCATGAAGAGATAATTGGGTCTGCAGTTCAGAAAGGGGCCTCTCCTTCATGTCTCCTTCATGATTAGCCCATTTCATTTCCATCTCTTCGCAGGGACCTCTGGAATACATCACATGGGCATGACTTTGGCAAGCAACCTGCAAGGGTCGAAGATGATTGTGAGTCTGGACTCGAGTACCGGAAGGGAGGGAGAGCTTGGCCAGTAGAGCTGTCAAGATCAATTGTTTTGATCTGGTCCTCATCCCTGAATTTCCAGCCTGATAAGTTGCTTGCTTTCAAAGAAGTTGTTTAAAGGCTTCAAAGTGGGAGGAGGCTGTACGGAGCCTTCATTTTGTCTTCACGCTTCTTTGGTTCCCACAGTCCATCAGCACAATACCCTTTCTCTGTTTCCCAGACCTTTTGAAACTCTGAAAGCGTTGGTTGACAGAGAACTCTTGGTGTCTCAGGTGACCCCCCAAAAAAACCATTAACCCCCAATTGCACAAGCAGAAGATTATGGAACACAAGTCTAGTGAGAGAAGAGCTCTAAAATAGCTCCAGTTTACATCAATCAAGCTTGTGCAGGCAAACTTCCCTTGGACTCATCTTTTGCTACCCAAAAACTCCAATCTGAAATAGCCTCGTTGCCTTGGTGAGCAACTGCGGTCATCCAGTTGTTTTTGGCTGACTTAACTCCCCAAATCCTTCACCATTGGCCATTTTGACTGTGGCTGATACAAGTTCTAGACCAGAAACTTCTGAAGGACCACCGTTGCCCCACCCTTTTTTACTTCACAGTAGGCTTGTGTTTCATTGTAAGTTGTTATTTTCTGCTGATATTCTATAATTCCAGCATCCACTGCTCCGTGTATCTGCTCACTACTTTACCCTTGCTTTGCTGATGTTGTTGTTTACTTTAAACCTTCTCTCCTGCAGGCCTGTGGTCCAGGAGTTCAACAACATTGTGACAAAAATCTCTATGTGAGTGGACTCTGCTATATGTTGGATGCTAAACTCCAGAACTTTAGGAACATAACTACTGGATACCAAAGTAAGAAAATGTCCTTGTGAGACAAATTTTGTCTCTGGGTGTTCATGTTCCAGCAGAATACACAGCTCTGCAGTGAGGGATCATGTCTTCTGTTCCAACCCAGCTGACCTAGCCTTCAAACTCTAACCTTCATACCATTACAGTATTTCATTCAGGGCTGTAACCTATCACTTCTCTCCCTTCAACACACAGAGTGCTTAAAAGGGAACGTGGACCTGGTGTTTCTCTTTGATGGGTCAGAAAGCATGACAGATGGGCAGTTCAATACACTGAAGGAGTTCATGATCAATGTAATGGAAAAGCTCTACAACAGCACCATACATGTAGGTACATTGGCGTTGCTGGATAACAGAAATTGCTGTCTAAGTCTTCAAGATTCTAAAATCATCTCTGTGTTGAAAGGAAATCAACACCCAGCTTTTTCTGCTTTCTTCTTTTTCTTTTGAGCATAATAGAAGTAAGTTTAGCAAACTCAATTCAGGAAGACACGCCAGCTGTTTATGCACAGTTATTAAATCCATTTTATTCAGCCCCTGACTTTCTTTTCCCTTTTTCCTGTTGTTTCCCTAGAGATCCCCACCAAACTTGTATACCATGTGCCAAATGTGTACACCAGTTGTGCATCATTGCCAAAACTTGGCCCTTCTCCAAATGTTTTGCTACAGTTTCCAATTATACCACTTCAGGTGCAATGACACTGGAAAGCTAACTTAAAATAATGTGGCTTTGCTGCAATTTGATTTGCAATCTGGATTACAGTCAGAGCTCACACAGGGCCTGTGGGTTGGTTAGGGAGTTCAGCATTTACCTTGGATGCAATGCAGTTCACATTCCAGCCCACAGCCCCCCTTTTTTCGTTCCTTCCTCTGGTCCTGCCTCTGCAAATCTAATTGGGAACTGATAGGGGCATAAATATAGGAAATAATAACAGCGACCCAGCAATAAGGTGATAGGGTGATCGAGCACTAATCTCATATATGTATGATATTTTTTTAAAAAAAAATTTAACAACTCAGAGGATTATTTGGGGAGAGGAAAGGATACGGTGCATGTTTCTTGGGCCAGAACATGCTGCCCCAACTGCTTACATCACCAAAACATCACCTACAGACATGCCGTCCATCTTTACAAGGATTTATCACAACTAACCACATAAGGAAAAGCCCATTCGAATTGTTCCAGGTTGAAAAGGTAGAAGCCACCCTAGCAGCAGGGGGAAAGGAGCAAAAAGTGTTGGACTGGTTTGAAACAGCCTTTGTGTCATGTGGTCAACATAAAATACTTGAGTTACAGACTTAATTGGTTCTGGAATATGGTCGTAACTCAAATTGGTCGTAAGTCGAAGCAGCATTTCCCATAGAAATACATTGAAACCCCATTAATCTCTTCTGGCCGGGAAAAAAACCCACTAAAAAAAACGCCACTTCAAGACCCATCGGAAATGTGATTAATCCGGCCGGGAAAAAAACCCACTGAAAAAAAACACCACTTCAAGATCCATCGGAAATGTGATTAATCCGTTCTGGTGGGGGGGGAAAACACACTGAAAAACAAAAAACACTGCAGGACCCATCAGAAATGCAATTAATCTATTCCGGCTGGAAAAAAAAATACACACTCCGAAAACCAAAAAACACTGCAGGACTAATTGGAAACACAATTAATCTGTTCTGGCTGGAAAAACACACACACCAAAAAACAAACACTGCAAGACCCATCACAGCACAGAAACATAACCCCACCCCAGCCCAAACTCATGCTGCAAAACCCTGTACTCACTTAGAAGAGGCGTTTTAAAAAGCAGAAAGCAGTACCAAGCAGTCTGAAGCCTCCTCCGAACACACAGTCTCTAACTGCTGGGGCAAAACAGGTACAGAGAAGCTGCCTCTTCGCCGACCAACGGTTAGCAGTTCAAATTCCTGGCCTTTTTCCCTGCCTTTTTTCCGGTCATATCCCAAAGCTCAAGTCGCAAGTCAAAGCAAAATTTTGCGGCTGGAGCTGGTCGTAACTCGTATTGGTCACAAGTCAAGACATTTGTAAGTCGAGGCATCACTGAATTTGAATTCACCTGTTTAATACTTTGAGTTCACCTGTTTAATAATTCTGTGGTATATGACCATGTAGTTGCAACCTGTTAGTCTACCCAGTCTGAGCATTACAGTCTTTCGCATTGTAATTTTGCAGCGTCTTTGAATTCTCGTTTGCTTTTCTCTTCCAACCTCTCCAGTTTGCTGCTGTGCAGTTTTCCCAACATACCAAAATTGAATTTGATTTTAACGGTTATATCAATGAGCCAAACCCCCGGAAGCTCTTGGCAGAGGTGCAACATATGAAACATCTTACAAACACTTTCAGTGCCATCAAATATGTAATGTGAGTAGTTTCCTCAAGTGGAGGGTGGGTGATGAAAAACAGGTGATGACTACCTGAGAAAGTGGGAAGGGGCTCTGATGATGGGGAGATTTGGGATGCCATGTCCTTTGATCATATATGTAAACCAAGAAGCTACCTTAGACACAAGACCTAGTCACGCGGATGGAAGTGAGCAGAAATGATCAAGTATAGATTACTGGCATAAGGCACAGTTGTAGCAAGCAAAACACAGGCTTCCTACATAAGATTTAATTAAATGTTTCAAAATATTTAGGACCATTTCCCCCTATTCTTACACCTGACAAATGTGTTGGGCTAAAACCCCCATCCAAAGCGTGGAAGATTTACTTTTTTGGCTTATAGCTTCCATCCTTTCCAGGGAGCATGGCTTATAATCAAAGTCGAACATTTACAGCCGGAGGGTACTAGACTGAGAAAAAACTTTTACGTTTGGATCTATGTGTCAGAGCCAGTCCCCAAGCTGAGGGAGAACAGTTTGGTTAACCAGTATAATTCAGGATGTTCCTTAGTCTGTATCACTGTTGCCTTGTTTGTCAACAACAGGGATAATGTTTTCCTTCCTGAGCGTGGCATGCGAGAGGGATCCAATAAAGTCATTGTCATAATCACCGATGGACTTGCTACAGACAAAGATAGAGGGATCATAGCCGAAGCTACAAAAAAGGGGATCCTACGCCTCATTATTGGGGTAAAGTATCCAGGAAGTCTGCAGGCGGGGGGGCTTGTCTGTTTTGAACCCATGGGTATTGTTTACTTTCGGTGGGAGTGAAATACTTAAGAGTTCTTGTTTCTCTCATTCACTGAACTGCTGTCTCCATAATCAAGCCCTTATAACCAAGAAGACAGGAGTTTAGGGTGAAAATTATGATATATATATGAACTAATTAGTATACAGTGCAAATGGATATAGGGAGAATAGAGGGGCTAACGAGGCTGGAATCTTTGACTCCAAAGGGGGGTGGGGGTACTTTAAATAGAGGGGTAAGCTATGTTTTTTTCCCTATATACGTAGCCTGTTTTTTTTCTTGTCTCTCTGTTTTTGTCTTTTTTCTATTTTCCTTTTTTTTAGTGTTTTATGGTTTTTTGTATGTTAGAGATTATTAATCAATAAAATTAAAAAAAAATAACCAAGGGTGCTTGTGATCATATAAAGCAAGAACGAGCACTTGCAGTGTATTTTGTCCCTCCCAGAACACACCACGAACCGCATGTATCCATTGGCACCAGTGCAATTTGGTGCCACCAAAAAAAACTGGTTTGAAAGAAGCACTGAAATTCAGTGGCCAAAAATGCAGCAGAAGCACCTGCCTAAAGGCATTATTTTGAAAAATGGGGCTAACAGGATTATTTTGGGTGTCACCAAAATTTAGCAACACAATTTAGATTTCAGGGATGCTTTTCTGGGGAGTGGCTGTGTAACCTAAGGTGGCTGCCTTTTGGTCATATGTAATATAAAAGAGGTTGGAAAAGCAGGCATTGACCACTCTGTAATCAGAAAAGGGCCTTAGAAATACTGTTGGGGAATTGTGTTGAGGATTAGGCTAGCTGATTAATTCAGCAGGTCTGTTAACTCTGCATGAATGGCCACATCAGATGTGTTATGGCAGATGTTTGTTTGTTTGTTCATTTATTTATTTGTTTGTTTGTTTGTTTATATCCCGCCCATCTAGTAGATTCTACCACTCTGGGCGGCTAACAACAAACATAAATACAATTAAAACAATATAAATCATTGACATCATAGCAACAAAACATTCCAAAAAGTGATAAATGATAGATGTGCTACTAACAGAATGTCTTGTGGGTTTAAATACCGTAATTGCCTTGGTTTGTGCATATGTCAGGCTGGATTGGAACCGTAGTTCTGTAGAAGGAGAGGATAGATGTGCTATTAACAGAATGTCTTGTGGGTTTAAATACTGTAATTGCCTTGGTTTGTGCATATGTCTGCCTCGATTGGAACCGTAGTTCTGTAGAAGGAGAGAGGGGGTTGTCGGTTTCCTTTGTCACAGTTGTCTTTGAAATCCCTTCCTCCTTTTCAAACGCCAGGCCAGGCTGGATAAATTTTGGGTCCTGATGGAAAAAATTAGGTGGCGTCATAAAACACTGTACTGCAGCTAAAACTGTGCAGATGGAAAAAATTAGGTGGCGTCATACCAGCTGGGTGGACTAATAAGAGCTGCGTCTTCTAGACTTGCGATGGGACAGCATCCTGTCTTAAAAGGGGCATGGGGCTCTTTAGTGCCTTGTTCTCTCTGCCCAACCTGTTGAGGCTGCCGCCTGGTGTCAGCTCCTGAGGCGGCTACCCCATTTTGCATAATGATAGGGCCAGTCCTGCAAAAATGCTGCTTTTTCTGTGAATAAACAGTAGCTGGATGTGCATGTGTGAGATGGCAGGTTTTGGTCAGGAAAATCAAGTGAAAATTGGGGGAAAAGTCTCTAGTCTTCTGTCATCGGGGAAAAAAATAACAGTACATGCAGCCCTTTATCTCATGCGCGAGTGCTACAGGATCATGTCTTAATCTGCTCCCTCCTCTTTTGTGGATTTTTCAGACTCCTTGACTTTCTACTTGGAGCTGATTTAAAAAAAAAAACTCTCAATGCTGCTTTTTCTGTGAATAAACAGTAGCTGGATGTGCATGTGTGAGATGGCAGGTTTTGGTCAGGAAAATCAAGTGAAAATTGGGGGGAAAGTCTCTTCTGTCATCGGGAAAAAAAATAACAGTACATGCAGCCCTAGGATTTCTTATCTCATGCGCGAGTGCTACAGGATCATGTCTTAATCTGCTCCCTCCTCTTCTGTGGATTTTTCAGACTCCTTGACTTTCTACTTGGAGCTGATTTTTTAAAAAAACTCTTCTTCTGTCTCATTTGATTTTCTCCTCTTTCCTCAGGTTGGGGTGCATTTTAACTCTGAAGAATCCAAAGAGAAGATACGACAGCTTGCCTCAGCACCCTTCGATCAGACTGTGAAGCTCCTTACCAGATTTGAGGATCTCAAAAACAGCTTTGACGACCTCCAGTCTAAGATCTTTGCCATTGAAGGTGTCCTTTTGGGCTGTTGTATTAGCAGGGCTGGTGGTGGCGGGAGAACTAGCAAAGAACACTGCTTTTGAGATGGAATCCTAGCATTTATTCAAAGCATCCCAGGAAGAAACTGTCCCTTTTTTTGTCCTTTCCTGGGCTTGGTCCTCTGCAGTAGTGATGTAAGCCCTTACTTATCTCATTGTCACAAGTGAGGATGAAGAACTGCTGCAATCTTCTGCTCACTAACAAAGACATTAACAAATTTGCAGGCACCCTTACTGCTGCTCTTGTAGGGGTAAAAATAATGATCTGAACAAATTGCTGATTTTTTTCAAGCAAAATTGTGTATTCGCGAAGGCGAATACACAACAAGACACACTAATCACCCATCTCCTGAAAAGGACAAAAGCTGATCTCACAGCCATAAATACTCAACGCCCAAACAAACTGCACCAGAGCACAGAGTGCTGTCCTCTGAAGATACTGGCCACAGAGCCTGGCGAAACGTTAGGAAGAAAAACCACCAGAACATGGCCAAAGAGCCCGAAAAACCCACAACAGCCTGGGGTGCGTGTAATTTGCACTGAACCTGACCAAAATCCAGGAGGCAATGGAAGACAGGAGGGCCTGGTGTGCTCTGGTACACGGGGTCACGAAGATGTGTAATTTGCACTGAACTTGACCAAACTCCAGGAGGCAATGGAAGGCAGGAGGGCCTGGGGTGCTCTGGCCCATGGGGTCACGAAGAGTCGGACACTATTTAACGACTAAACAACAAAAAGGATGGTTGCGTATTCATTTCCTGGGTGTCTTAAGAATTTGAAGCATTGGTTAGATTGTTTTTGTCTTATCATTCAGCCAGTCCTGCTGTGCTTTGCTTGCTAAACAACAACAAAAAGGATGACTGCGTATTCATTTCCTGGGTGTCTTAAGAATTTGAAGCATTGGGTAGATTGTTTTGGTCTTTCTTATCATTCAGCCAGTCCTGCTGTGCTTTGCTTGGTCTGCATGTGTGCTTTGGATGCACTATGAGAACGGACGGGCGTTCTGTGCAGATGCATTTTGCTCAAATTAATGGAATTCTGGCAGAGTTCCTTGTCTCACTCTTGGCTGGAGGGCAGGAATCTCGCAAGGCTTCCAAATTCCTAGATGAGCTTGCACAGTTGAGTTGAAACAGTTGCGCTGATACAGCCAAAACTAATTGGAAAGAAGAGTTTAGCAAGTATTCTATACATCCTTACCCAGCAGTACCCTGTTTCCCCGAAAATAAGACCTAACCTGAAAATAAGCCCTAGTAAGATTTTTTAGGATGCTCGTAATTTAAGCCCTACCCCAAAAATAAGCCCTAGTTAAGTGAAACCCCACCCTCCACCCTTGTGCAGCAACCAGAAGAAGATGCCATGACTGTATTTGAATAAACATAAATTGCTGTACATGAAAAAAAAAACATCCCCTTATAATAAGCCCTAATGTGTTTTTTTGGAGCAAAAATTAATGTAAGACCCTGTCTTATTTTCGGTGAAACACTGTACAACCTTCTGATGTGACCTATGCCCTGAAAAGCCCACTTGAAATTTCCATTTGAGTGGCATCATGACCCATAATGTTAGATACCTGAAAGTTCTATGGGCATTGCCCAAGTACCAGAGAGGAATTTGATTGATTGATTGATTGATTTGATTTGATTTGTATCCCGCCCATCTGGTCTATACGAAGTTAAATTTTATTATACAGTCATAGACCTGAAAATTCAAAGATAAAAACATAATACAAGATTTACATAGTAAGTACAGTACTGTACGTTGTTAGAACATATCGACGGTATAAACTTGAGTCAGGTGGTTGTCTTAATATAACATTTTACAAATTCTTAAAACAGAATAAAATCTTAGTCCCCAACTGTGTTATTAATTGGTTCTCTCCTGACAGCAGAAACTTCAGGTAGTCTGTGGGAGATATGCTAGTACGTTTACATATAATTTGGTAGAGATAGTGGATACATTCGACCCTATATAAGCTGCCTTCTAGAATGGAGTGTGCCAAGGACTCAACTGTTTCATCCCCACAGAGGCATATCCTTTCTCCATAGGAAATGTTATTAAAGAGCCCTTTCAACAAGGCTGGGGGAGTAATTTAAAATAAAGGAGCACTCCTCTCGAATCTTCTTAGAAGTCTCATTTTTCTGACTTCTGAAGCCCTCTTCAGTCATTTCATGTATCTGCAGCCGGAGTAATTCCATGACGAAGTGAATGCTCTCTTAATTGTGCCCAGAGGCACACTCTGCATCTGCGCATGATGGTGCTGATTAAGAGGACAATGGTTTTCTCCATCTGCTTCTCAATTTGGTTAGATTTTTTTCACAATGCCAGCTTCCTGTAGGCCACCATCATTCTTTGTGGGTGATGAGGGGGCAACTGTTTCTGAGATGGGAGAGGGCAACCGTTTGTAACACAGATAAACCCCTTCCTCATCTCTGTCCCTTGCAGGTACCAGCGACACTGGCTCGTTCCACATGGAAATGTCATCCAGTGGATTCAGTGCCGATATAAACCAGGTGAGGGTGCCACCGTAAGCGTGTTGTGGAATGAAGAACGCCATGCAGTGCCATCCTGTATGTATGTCTGTGCAGCAGAAAATACCAGCCTGTTCGGTGGGACTTTGTCCCAGGCAAGAATCTGTGCAGCTATATCATCTCAGGTGGTTTTGCAGCCTGCAAATTTTTTGGCCTGTGGCTTATTGTTAAGCAGACAGCCAAAGAAAAGGACTGTGATTTCTGCGCCTGTTGGGGAATGACCAAACTGGTGAGATCTTTCCCTACCCATTTGTTTCGGTGCCACCTCTGCCCTCATCTATTGACAGAATTCTGCGTGCACAGACACACACACACATATCAAAATAGCCCACTTCCCAAAAGGGAATCTGGCTCCTGGGCTGAAAGGAGCTCCATTACCTTGATGTATAGGTAGCTATACATGTAGAAGCTGCCTACAGGCTATCTATAAAACCCCTTTCTTTCCTCTGCAGGGCCGGATAGTCCTCGGTGCTGTGGGAGCTGACAATTGGGCTGGAGGGCTACTCGAGCAGCAGGATGGTTTTGTCCAAGAAAAGTTTGTCACCTTTCCTTTGTACAAGAAAGAAATGGAAGGGGCATACTTAGGTGAGTAATGAGAAGAGTGACGCTTCTCTGGCCCTTCCTCTGCCATTGCTGTCGCCATTGTTTAGCATGGTGTTGGGCGTTTGCTCTTTTAGTAGATCTGGGCTGTGTAATTTGTTTTGTTTAGTCATTTAGTTGTGTCCGACTCTTCGTGACCCCATGGACCAGAGCACGCCAGGTCCTCCTGTCTTCCACTGCCTCCCAGAGTTGGG